CACAAAAATAAGATCGCAACTGTCAAGCAGTAATAATTATCTTATCACGAACCCTAGATGGGGCTTGACACCAAGACTTCCTGACTGACTGACTGACCGTCAGTAGCAATGGTACTTTGACTTTGACAACCGCGTCAGTTCTGTACAGAAATCTGTAAGGAAAAGGGGCAGTTGGAAGGGAACCGCCTTTCAGAGAGAACTTGAGCTCGTAAAGTTGAAGAATCTCCACTGTTGGAAGCCGTTGTCAGGGAATGACTAGTAAAGATAGAAGAAACTTGATTGTGGATACTAGCGGTGGCGCTGTAATTGCTTTTATTTCCGAGTCGTGTGTATAAGCGATCAATAAATTGTGTAACAAATATACCCCGTCTATAGTCACGCTAATATGTGAGAATAACAGTATATTATGCTGATATCTAATCATATAGATCTATTATCGATATTGTCGTGATTATGTTTCACTTTTATAAGGAACGTAATTATGTAAGGATAGCTCAGTCGGTAAAGCGACTAGACAATGGTCTTAAAAACTGAGGAAGTTGATTCGATTCACAATAGGAGTAAGAGATTTTTCTCCTCTGTATAACATTCAGACCGGCTGTAGAATCCACCCAACCTTCTGTATAATTACTGGCATTCGGCTCCTTACTCGGGAGTAAAATGGCAGAGGTGTAAAGTTGATCGCCGGTCACGGTAGCCGAGCGGTCTAACGCATGTACTGTCTTCGCTCCCTCGGAAGCCGGGATCATGGGTTCGAATACCACACAAGGCATGGATGCTTGGTATGTGTGTTTATTATGTGTTTGTATTGTCCTATGTTTAGGAAGAGGCCTTGCGACGAGCTGATCACTTATCCAAGGAGTCCTTCCGTCTGTAAAATGATCGAAATGAAAGAAAAAGAACCTCGACACCGTAAATTATAAGAGAAACGGATTAAATAAAGTAAAAAGTAAAGTTGACCACTCATCTCCATCGAGTGTCGAAGTTAATAATGTGTGAAGCTAAGCCTCCACTCAACCATACGTCAGCAGGAAGTAGTGTTTAATTAATCAGGTACGGGGATAACTATACATTTCCTTTATCTTATTATTAAATTACGGATTTAGAATATGCTAAATTTGTGGGAAATTACCTCAAAGATTCGCACTGTCATCATGGTTTTAGTTGTTAAATAAAATGATTTCTCATATATGATGTACATCTAATAAATATGTAGATCAGATTGATGTTGACTGTAGAAAATTAAAAAGAGAAACGTGTGACGGTGTAACATCAAATTTCATAACAATCATACCAAGTTTCCGGCAAATCGGCAAAATGGTTCAAAGGGATCCCAAAAATACAGACAGACGCACACATGACATGGTAAATTTCGTAAGACTCTCTCTTTCCTTAATTAAACTAGAAATGATTCTTTTACTGCTAGTGGGGTGGGACTAAGTCCCTTGTACTGCGGCCACTTCTGGCCTATTGTATCAGCCCCAGATGATAGGTGAGGGTGATTGTGGAGCAATTGGTGGAATGAAGATTGGCAGGGGAAACCGAAGTACTCGGAGAAAACCTGCCCCAGCGCCACTTTGTCCACCACAAATCCCACTTGATCAGACCCAGGGATCGAACCCGGGCCGCCGCTGTGGGAAGCCAGCGACTAACCGCTTGAGCTATGGCGCGGCCCAACTAAAAATGATGCTGGGTCTATTGTTGTTAAAGTAATAGAACTTTTGAAATTACTGTTTACAGCCGTGGGCAATGTTCTCCCTGCAGTGATTCCCCTTGAAAACATAATAATGGACCTTCGTGTTCAAATACTTAACTTTTTACTCTCAGGATAGAACTACCGCCCTTCATGCAGTCCAGATACTGAACCTAGTATGCTATCTTATTGTAGCTACTGTCTGAACTTACGTTTCGTAATGCCAATCAGGCTGCATTTGTCCACCCCAGTGGGCTTTGTGCAACCTGTGGGAATATTCTTCCAATTCTCTAAATATTTTACTCTTCTTTATAAAAAATGTTATATCTTTTGAAAAATATCGCGAAACATGCTTAGAAAATATTTCATATATCTTTTCAATTTATTTCACATATCACCCAATAGATAATTTACGTTGGAACATGTAGAATTACAACGGTTCCATGTGTGTGTTTGTGTAATATCAATGTGATTCAGTAAAATTTATCACAAGGTTTTAGCACTATCGACTTTGCAATATTTAGTTTAAATAAATGTATTGTAAAGCTATTTGCCCAAATCTTTTTCATGAGAAGAATTCTGTCCCTTAAATAGAACGCCGCGTAATCTGTTGATAGTCAACTATCATTTCGAAGGAACATATCACCTCCATCTTCAGGGTCGAAGAATAAGCCAAGCAATATTCCAGTGTGAAGCTCTGCTCGCTATCTGCTTACGCTGTTTTTTATTTTGTTTGGTGTATTTTTCTTGAAGGTGGAGGCGACGTGTTCAACCGAAATGCCAGTTGACTAATATAGTGTTATTTCCCAGAAGACAGAACTGTTCATAACCACAGGTGTGAAAACCTTAAGTCCTATACTTTCATGTGATTGCGCGTCACAGTCCTAACCACTGCAAGGCAGATTTTGGCATCTAATTATCAAAAGAAAATACATTTTAAACTCAGCTTGTGAGTAGGTGCCTAATGGACAACGTGAACCCTCGGTGGTTTCAATTTGGACAGCCCTGGTATGGCATACCAAGAATGTGACTGGTTGGCGGATGGGTATGAACTGGAGGCCATGATACGTGGATTAACATGGGTATCTTTCGTAACTAATTGAATTAGTCATGACTCCATACTTGTTGACTTCATAATTGTGTTGTGCTCTTTGTGGGCCGTCTGCTAGTCCCGCATTTCATTTCAGCTGTCTACTCTATGGGCTCATAGGGACACTATTTATTTCACATTACACTAAGTCCATTCACATTTTATCTAGAGCATATTACAGACAATCTATGAAGTGACACAGTACTTGAATTTTAATACTTAACACTTTAAAAACTGAGTCAGAATTAGAGTTACTCCTGGCGGTTTACCGCCAATCAGTTCGTCTTGGTGCTAAGCCACTTTAGGTTCACGACAAGAGATTTTTTCAGCTGAACTCCTGCGGTCATAGTCCTTATGTAACATCCTCTCTGATGAGTGAATGGTTTTGTCTCTTATGAATACGCTTGGCCATTGTCAAGTGTGTTCTTCTAAATAATATATAAGAAATCATTTCATGCTTAACAGGAAACAAAATTCGTCTCCACTACAAATACCAATCGGTTAATGCTGTTTAGAGAAACATTCCCTGTTTATTGTGAGAAACATATGGAACACACAAACACACTCTGTGGGCAGAATGTAGAGTTTTGATACGCTAAGACAAGTGATAAATATGGTAACCACTGGGCTATAAAGGGTTACATTTACATCTGTAGGAATTTTAATAATTAATTTGCAATATATTATGTAGGTATGCATGAATAAATTGAATGAACAGTAGCGGAAATATGACAAGGGGTGGTCCTTCTGATGGAGTTTGAATGGGGGACTAACAAATCACCATAAAATACAACCACATTATAGAATGTTACACAGATCCAAGGCCATAATCCCAGCATAGAAGAGAAGATAATATTAAAATTATCTTCGTAAATAGATGACAGGATGTGCACTGGATTCATCTCAAGAGGGGAAGCACATGGTAATATATGTGGGGTCCTTAAACGGACTTAGATTTGTATACCAGCTGAGTGACTCGGTTTTTCAGGGACTCATCTCCATGGACTTAGCTGGGTTATGACTTTTTTGTGTACTTTTCTCATAACCGCTTTTTATTAAATTCAACGTCATAATTGGGTAGTTATTTGAGATCCTACCATTGTCTCTAGACAACAAATTCTTACGGATTAAGATATTGGAGAAAAAATTAAATCTAGATGTCTCTAGTCTCGTCACAATCTTGAAATTAATGTGCATAAAAATTGGAATGAAAGTAATACTATGTTGGGTGGGTTTCTGTGATGTACTGAATTACATCAGAAAACTGCCGTAAAGTTATTTAAAGGGACGTTTCGTGATAATCATAAAACTACCGCCGTCCGTGTAACAAATTCTCTTCATCAGTGGAAGGTTTGTTATATTCCTGGATATAACCTTTCAGAATATTACTTTATATTATATTATATTATATTATATGAGTTTCGGTCCGACCAAGATTTTCCTCATCTTGTAGAATGTCTTACAAAACTCGTTTAGAGATATTACTGTAACCTCCAGCATCAAATGTAGAGTGTGCTTTCTACACAGTGTGGACAGACTCGACAGGAAGAACGTCTGACTCTTAAGTCTGAGTTTGCGCTCACAAAAATACTTGCTGAAGTTTTAATTATGAATGGACATATTCATGAATAGAAGAACTCTATCTTCTGGAATATAACGCCTTGTATTTCGTTGCAAGTCAACCGACGTTTTGGAGGTATATATGGCCTCCATTTTGAGGGTTGAAGAATGAGCTGAGCAAGTGGGAAGCAGATCTTTACTTGGCGACATGTTTCGCTTAGTGGGGGGTGGAGTCCAACTGGGTCCACTCGGCACGGCGGCCACTGATTGGCCTATTGTACCTGCCACGGGTGATTATGATGATGGAGAATTTGGTGGAATGAAGATTGGCAGGGGAAACCAAAGCACTCGGAGAAAACCCGCCCCAGCACCACTTTGTCCACCACAAATCCCACTTAACACGACCCGGGATCGAATCCGGGCAGCCGCGGTGGGAAGCCAACGACTAACCGCTTGACCTATGGCGCGGCCTGGCTACATGTTCTTCCGAGACGTCGGTTGAATTTCACCAGGCTACACGGCGTCATATCCAAGACGATTGTACTCTTCATAACCACACGTGTGAAAAGCTCAAATCCTACATGTTCATGATTGTTTTCACTACAGATTAAACGTCTGGAAACATGAAAGATTAAATGTACTGATCGGTAATCTTACCTGACTCGAAGACAACTTCGCTGATCATGATCCAGCGGGCAGAGAAATACAGTTGGACCTTCACGAAACGACCAAAGCGTCCGTGTAAGTTGATGGACACATTCCTGGCATTCTCCAATACGGTATCGGGCATGTATGTATAGACTAGTGGCCTTCCGTTGTAGAACCTTCCGCCCACACTGAACATCACTTTGGCCTTTGCAAACACCTGTTAACACACAGCGTCACATTTCACTCTTATGACTAATTCTCAGATTGTTTAACGATGACTGTAAGTATTATACGCCTTGGCTGTCAAATGAAATTGTTAAGCGGAGTTGCACGAATCCCAAAATCATGTGAGAGTGAAATATGGTCATAAATCCTGAGGAGCTCGGAAACAAGAATGATTGTGCTGATGAGGACCAACAGCAATTTACCAGAACAGTCACTGGAAATAATCATTAATGGCAAATAGGAAGAAAGTGGAAGTTCTGTCAGGGTACCTGACAGCATGGACGAAATACGAGGTACCATCTCGGGATTTGCCTCGATGGTCTGAGAATATCCTTGAAGAAAATCTTAGAGAAAATGGTCGGTGTAAGGGCTGAGATATGAACGGATTCCTGGTAATCATTTCTGTTAGAGGCTGAGTCGATCCCATGGCTATAGTGCGGCTGGAAGGATTAGGTCAATTGAAAAAGAATCCGTTGACCTCATCGTGAATCGAAACCGTGACCTTCCGGCTTGTAATGCAGCGTCTCAAACAACTCCGCTACCGCGTGCCCACCCATAGCCAATAGAGAGAAGAATTTCATGGCAAAAATTAAAGTTACGTATATAGGAAAGGACGTGGAAGGAAATGATACGAAAAACATATTTGAGAAATAAGGAGCAGTTTATTTCTTTCATGAACAATTCTACGGTATGGAGTTATATCAAATGTATTTTTTAACAAAAATGTGGCATTTGGAAACTAAATTGAAAGAAAAACGTTTGCAGTATTTCTTGAAAGCTTAACTGATCATGTAACTGTAACGCATGTAACAGGTTCAACCTTATATCATGACTCTTACATATATATTTTTTTCTGTTAAAATTGTGATTTATAAACGGCATGCCTCGTAATTTCCCATTATTCTCGGTGAATGCACTCTCGCTCTATGGAGCCCGTCACACGCGACGCTTTTTCCTTTTTTGTTTTATTTTAGGTTACGTAAAAATATGGTCTTGCCATTGCAGAATGTAGGGAATTCCGTTGCCATAGAAACATTATACTTCCGTTTGAAGAGAGATATACTGTGGGCAATAGGAGAAAAAATAGGACTTAACTGCATACCCTTAGTATAATATCCAGCGCTTTACCTCGAAACCAAGGTGTGCCACGTCCATAATTGCGCTTCTAAATGCGAAATTGATTTGAGATCAGACCGAAGAAAAGATAGAAGGAAGGGGAAGAGTGAGACAGATTCATAATAAGTAACTTTATAGTTTGTACGCCTCTGCAGAACATTTCCATGTGTATATACAGAGTAATTTAACGGCTACATAAAAGCTCTCATATCAAGAAATTCTGATTTACCGCAGGAAATATTTTATGTCGAAAGTTAATACATTACATGAATGTAAGTTACGTAGTGGGTCGTGAAGAAGTCCTTTGTTTGTGTGTGTCGCAATAACATTGTGTGAACTGATAATATTTTGATGCTGATATGTGAAATGTCGCCTACTATACGAAGAAGAAGGTTTACTATTGGCTATTTGTTTATGTTATTCGTGGGAGACTGTGATAAACGTCGAAATTGGCATATTACTCCATGATTTCTACGACTGTGAAGGGATACGGGAGAAATCATAATGAAAATCCCGTTGAATTCTTAACGGGTCTTACACCAGTAGTATTAAATGATCAAATCAAGGATGGTAAGATGGTCAGGTTCTGCAGCACAGAAAATAGCTAAAAAACTAATACAAAATTTTGATAAGGAATCCCGAGAAGTGAACCACGTGAAGACAGAGGTGTAACTGAGAGAATGCTATTAAATTAATCTTAAAGAAATAAGGTACGAAGATATCAATTTGATCCATCTGGCAAGGGATGGGCTCCGACAGTGGGCTCTTTTGGACACGGTAATGAATTTTCGAATGTCATAAAATGCAGAGAATTTCTTCGGTAGCGCAGTAGCTACTAGTGTCCCAAGAAGGATCAGTTTTATGAAGCTAGTCAGTATATGAAATGGACAAGCTCTGAGTTAAATGTTTTATGTTGTATTCATTTGGTATCTACCATTTCTCGTTAAATTTAGACACGTGGAAATTCAGTTTTGGTAGGTCTTACAAATTAAGTCTCCGTACCAGTCTCACTGTAGGAAATCCAGAAGGAAAGAGACCACTTGGAAGACCAAGGTATAGGTGGGTGGACAATATTAAAATATATGTTAGAGAGCTAGGATGGGAAGGTATAGATTGGATTGATCTGGCTCAGGATAGGGACCAGTGTAGGGCTCTTGTGAACACTGTAATGAACCTTCAGGTTCCATTAAATGCTGGGCAATTCTAGAGTAGCTGAAGAAATGGCGGCCCCTTAAGAAGGGCTCAACTCTATGAGTAAGTAAGTAAATAATACCAATCTTACTGCGTAACAACACAGGCAGAAGTATATTCTGTCTCAAAGGGTTAGTTTGTGATAATGTGATATGAATGAAGAAAGACTAGTGCCATTCTCACGTTCAGCCACGGAATTACTTCATAATCCAGATGATCACAGTGCAAGTACTTTTAATGGCATCAACATAAAAGGGCCATTAGTTGAGACATGAATTTAGAACTATGATTCCTCGATTTTGTATAACAATCTACGCTTAAATTGTATTCATATGTGTTTCGTACTTTACTGCAGGCGTGTCCAAACAGCTATGTCCGAATTTTTGTAAGTTTCTAAAGTAAAACCCGGATCAAATACAATATTATTGTACAATACACTACCTTGATACATCAGTAGCGTTTTCCATTCTAAGTTAGTGAATTGACTGCAATTGTTCCCGATCCCTATCATACTTGTATATGGAAAATTAAAGCTTTATTTACATGAAGAAGAAGAAACTACTGTGGAATCTTTGCTACTGAACATGGGTCCCATCTTATTTGCCACAATGTGTTTAATTACAGCTTAAAATAATTTTATAATTTCTCAGTATTTTACGTCCATATTAGGTGGGTCCCTTGTCACCACGGCATGATGTCTCCTCAGGTTGTGGGTGGAGGAGGCGCCCTCCAGGTATGGAGGTTAACTGCGAATATATTGAATAAGCAGTCGCGGAGAGCCGACAAGAGGTGGCATTCCAGCTTGGGGGTTGGGCGTGTGGTTAACAACTCCTAACCGTAAAAATACGCTTGTTACGACCACAAGAAACCTCGGACATGGACGGATTCCTTGGATAAACTACCTAAATGAAAGAAAATGGAAATGAATATGGGTGTGAAACTTGGTCTCTGGCATTAATAGAGGAACATAGACTGAGGGTGTTTGAGAAGAGGATGTTAAGGAGAATATTTGGATCGAAGAGAGATGAAGTGACAGGAGGTTGGAGAAAACTGCATAATGAGGAGCTTCATAACTTATACTCTTCTTCAAGTAAAATTATAATGATCAAGTCAAGGAATTTGAGATGGGCAGGACATTTAGAACGAATGGGGAAGAGGAGGAATGCATATAGGATATTGGTCGGAAAACCAGAAGGAAAGAAACCACTGGGAAGATCAAGAAGTAGGTGGGTGGACAATATAAAATAGATCATAGAGATATAGGATGGGATGGTATGGATTGGATAGATCTGGCTCAGGATAGGGACCAGTGAAGGGGTCTTGTTAACACGGTAATGAACCTTCGGTTTCCATAAAATTCTGGTAAGTTCTTGAGTAGTTGCACAACTGGCGGCTTCTCAAGAAGGGTTCAGCTCCATGAATGAGGGAATTCTTTACGTACTTATATTACTGAAATAAGGAGATCAGATTTGAGGTTCTCACTGGGGTAAATAGTATCACGTGTATGGGTGACTATTCGACGGGGTTTGGATTGAATAATTGGATTTATTGCACTTATACACCCAACTCGTAAATACAGCTAATACAGCGCTATCACTATCTACACACTTCACAGTTCAGCTTTACACTAAAACTAGGGTTCTCACCCTTCACTAGTTCGTATCCTGGCAACGGATTTCAACAAGGTAATTATACAGTCGCACTCTTACAACTCAACAAACCTTCAGTTTCAGTCTCTTCTCAATCATCTTCTACTGCCGTCCCAAGTTATTCTCTCAATCAGGTTTCAAATGGCCTGGGGTTCTCGTTATATAACCTAGGGGCGCACCCAACAGAAAACACCGTTTCCATCATTAGAGCCCAACGATACTTCCGTTGTTGCTTATGTATTCGTTGTCATGGGAATGTGTTTACCGAGTCGTTGCTTAACAATGAACGTCTACTGTGGCTCCACTACTCCGGTCTTCAGGCGTCATGTCATACTATAAAGAATATGGTGTTTTATATTTTAACGCCGTGAATTTCGGAAAGAGGCCGAAGGAGGAACACAATGTACGTGTATCTCCATCTTCAGAATCGAAGAGTAAGCAAAGGAAGAAACCAACAGAAACAGGTAGCAAGCTCAGATAAACAAACTTCGTGAATTTCAGAAAACATGTTAAATACAATAATATCATATTGTGCTCAGAAATATCGTCACCTTACTTCTTAAGTGTTGTATCTCCACACTGTGTGGAATAGAGAAAACACGGACGCAGAACACTAAAAGTTGAATCTAAGAATAAAAAAAAATGGATTTTTCTTTCAAATTTATACTGAGAATTTACTTTGTTTAATAACGGACATACAACCCTTATGCCTTAAGGAACTAAATGAAACAGCAACCCGATACATATACCCATTAAGATCTCAAGCAAATCAATATCAAAATTTGAAATTAAATTCGTTATCAAGCTTCGATCTAAAAAGAAACCCGAATTTTGAAGAAAGGGGTTTGGGGTGAAAATATGATTTAGGTCTTCTGGAATGTAACGCCATGTAGTTTGAATAGGGAAGGACGTTTAGGAAGAACCTATTATTTCCATATTCCAGATATAAGATGGGACATAAGGTTCCTCCAAAACGTCGGCATATATCTACTTAGCTATATGATTTTACATCATAAAACAGCTTAATTTAAATATTCATCGTCTTAAAAACCTCAGACCTCACAAGATTTTAGGGAACTTCTGTTAATCCAACCAGTGTTTGTTATATTTTGTTCTGATAGTGTTACGGTCTATCTTGATACCTTACCTGCACATTCTTGGTGAAGAAGTTGTTGGTGAATATATGAAGGGCACTGAAATTCCGAACTTGATCGAACTCGAAGATCATCTGCACATAGTGGTTTGGGAAGGAGTCGTTTCTCCACGCCACCCAGCCGTTACCTGCAATCAAGACGTCAAATATTAACGCATGAAACTCAAACCTTCCTTCTACGCAGAATTAACGTTTCAGGTCACGTGTCCACCAACCGGAAGCTGCAGAAAATGACGTATTGACAAGCCCATCGACATCTGGAGGAGAAGGGTAACCTTCATTAGTAGAATACATAAGAACAAAGCAGTAACCCAATCGGTGTGGCCTAGCGTTGTTTCATTTTAAGGTCATGTGTCTTTGTACTCGAAGGTTGGAAGAGGAGACCGATGATGTCAGTGTATTTCGCCCCCAGAACTCTAACTTCATGGAACTGAGTTCCTTTTGAGAATCCACATGTTGCCCAGTCACTCAAGTAATTCTCCAGCATTTAACAGAAAATAAAAGTACATTACCATGTTCACAAGAGCCCATCACTGGTCCCTATCTTCAGCCAGGTGAATCCAATCTTCATACACAGTATTCCATTAAAACCCATCAAAATATTATCATTCCATCTACGTCTAGGTTTTCCTTGTTTTTCTTTCCTTCTTGTTTGTTGTCAGACTGCCTCTGTGGTCTAATGGTCAGAGTTCTTGGCTATAGATTCAGAGGTCTCGGGTTCGATTCCCGGCGCTACCAGATTTTCTGGGAAGTAGTGGGTCTGAAACGTGGTTCACTCAGTCTCGTCACGATAATTGAGGAGCTTCTTCAAGGAAATAGCGGCTCCGGTCTAGAAAACCGAAATTAACTGCCGTGGGGATTCGTTGCGCTGACCACGCGACACCCTCTATCCGCAGGAGTTGGCACTAACTTCGCCGACAAGTGGCGGTCTCTCGGTCGGAGTTTGTTTTTTTGTTTTTGTCATGTTTGCTATCAAAATCCTATATGCGCTCCTTTACCATATGTGTTATATAGCCTGATCATCTCATCCTCGTTGACTTGTTCGTTACTGTAATATTTGGCTCATAGCACAAGTATGACCCTCCTTATTACGCAATTTTCTCCCGTCTCCTGTCATTTTATCCCTGTTAGGTGCAAATATTCTCCTCAGAGGCCTGTTCCCAAACAAGTCTATACAACTGTTATGTTTATGGACACTATTCATCGTCCCGTTCTTTTTATTAAAAACACACAACGTTTCGGAGACTGGATTGGATTCTGGCTCCGTCTTTAGGCGAAACCTATTAATTTGGGCCCAATCCATAAAGCTATTGGTCCGGAGGTGGGGACTAGCTCTTCGTTTGGGCGCAACTGAGTAGGTTTCGGCTGAAGAAGGATGCAGAATTCAGTCTGCGAAATGTTGTGTGCTTTATTATTAATTTTATTAATATACCATAGCCACAAAGTTTTAGATCGTACCTTCAGTCTCTATTCTTCCCGTAACATCGCCCATAACGACATGGTGCAATAACCCATGCAAAGAATTGACATTGATTTTGCATGTGTTCATTATGCTTGTTTCATTGGTAAATATGCTGATTTTGTATTTATATTGCTCTTATCGTGTTTGGTGTTTAATTGTGGATGACTGCAATTTTAATCCAGTTTTAACCATAAACTCAGCTACAAATCTTAGCTTGACAAATATATACAGTACAACATCACACTTATGACACAGACGTGCCTGATGATATCGGTATGCAAAAGGAAACATTTAGTACTAGTCACATTATGCATAATTAAATAAATTTATACAATACTAGAAAGCTACCAAATCGATTCTAGACAAGGACAAAGAAACACAATATTAAATGAAATACGTATAATGCAACAGAATGATACAATACAGAACAGAGAACACTATACATGTATAAGAAGCTTTGTAAGCGTGAGGTGTATTGCTGTAATTAAATAATTTTAGAGGACCATAGCAAATAATTGTTCAGCAATGACATACTGCACATACGTAATTTATATAATATATCACGAAAAAGAGAACAGTCTTTTGTTTCACTGTACTATATATGTTCTGTGAAAACTGATACAATGTTATTTATATTATTATTATTATTTAAATTAAAAATGGGTTTTTACCCGATGGGAGTGGTAATACATACAACACACAAATAACACACCACACTCAAAACACAGGACACAAAAATACAAATAATAAAGGACACACTATGCACAATGAAAAAATACAAATGTTAATGTGGATATAAAAGCATACATTTTAGTATGTTATATAAAGCAGACTTTTACTTTAATTATTTGTGAGTATTTTTCGTGGGAAATTTTCTTAAATTTCGGCCACGAGATTTCATTCGGCATCATGTAACACTGGAAAGGAATAAGTGAGAAAGAGGGATAAATTGATAATAAAAAGCTTATGCAACAAATTGTACTAAAAATGATGAGACTTCCGGTTGAAATCTCAAAGAAAATTCAGAAGTTAATGTATAAACAAATAGCATTTTATAACTTGAACTAGACCCATAAAGGGTAGGATTTTATGGGCTGAGTTCCTTGCACAATTAAAAACGTTCATTTCTTTCTATTGCACTGACTTCCTTCTGCCTGGAAACAAATAGATACAAACACAGCTAATGAATATGAGAGATTATTGAATTCGAAACATAAAGCTGCATTATTTTGTCACACATAGTCAATCTGTTTGAATCAAAATACACAAATTAAACTACGCATGACTTACTCTGAAGAACCGAACGCTATAGCACAAAAGGCCATTTGATCTACCGATGTAAAATACATCATATCTCAATGAAATCGAAAGTACATTTGAAACAGAAAATGAAATGAAAACTGAGGGCATTTTATTAAATCACCAAGCGTGTGTATAAATATAAAAATATTAAACTACTACACATATCGCAGGGCTTAATAGTGTACATACACAAAGTCCTGTGAAAGTCTTACAATTCTGTCAGAGAGAAAGTTACTATGAACCCTTAAGAATTCTTCCGATTAAATTTCCAAGTTGCTTCCTGTGTGACAGTAGAATGCTACATCTTCTTATGTAGTTCGGCCTGCTTGACCACCTTCAAGAGGCTTTGAATCAGTAAGGTAAAGTTGTCTCAGTGCGTAACTAATTAATAGGGCCCGGATTTTTCGAAAATGCATATGCGCATATACAAATGCATATTTTTAGGGTTTTTGGTCGTTATTGGTAATTCTAAACGTAAGAGCATATTTCTGCATATATTTTTGGAATTAAGGATAATTTCAATGTTCTCCAACAGAATCGGTTTTGCCTGTGTTTTGGGCATCCCTTGCCAGTTGCTATTCTCAACTCTCTGAGTAACGGCACTTTTACCACTTACAAGCAGGTAGCTTGGCTATTTCGAAAGGGAGGGGGTGGGATTTTCCTTCATTGCTTTGACCACCACAGCAGACAGTAGCATCAGAGGGTTGGTCTCGAGAGAAGTCTCTTCAGTTAATGTGTTACTCTTTACTTTAATAGTCTGCATCAAAAAAGTGTTCGTGTATTGAAAATGCCTAAAGAAAAGTGCAGTAGTAGACATTTAAAAAATCGGTGGGTGTCGGGTAATAGTGACTATTCAACAGACGGTGTCGTCGTGTACTGTCAAGTTTGCGCAAAGGAAGTAAAATGTGAAAGGAAATCCCAACTTGAAGAACACTCAAGAACGACTGCACATATTGCGGCAAAGAAGGGGAAGAAGAACAGCACACCACAACAGCTACTTCTTACACAGGTCAAACCCAAATCCTCTCTTAATCCATTTTAGCCGATCTTTGTAAGGCTTTAGTATGCAGCAACATACCACGGAATAAATTAAGCAATCCAGTTCTGCGATCATTTCTGGAGAAATACTGTGTAATTAAAAAAGTCCCAGATGAATCAACTCTTAGAAAATATTATCTACCTTTGCTGTATGAATCTACTCTGGAGTCAATCCGTTCTGACATCAGAGGGAACTGTGTCTGGATATCGGTGGATGAGACAACCGATTTATGTGGCCGATACATAGCAAATTTTGTAATTGGTAAGCTACATCCAGACAAACCCGGCAACTCTCATTTTCTTGCTTGCAAAGTACTACAGAAAACCAACCATAGCACAAAAGCATGATTTGTAAATGATTCTCTGCGACTACTATGGCCATCTGAAATTGAGAATAATTGTTCTAAGGTGTTTGTATTACTCACAGATGGAGCTTCCTATATGTTGAAAGCAGCAAAGGCCTTACAAGTATTTTATCCAAATCTTATACACGTAACCTGTTTAGCGCACGGATTACACCTTATTGCAGGAAAAATACGCGCACAGTTTCCAGCTGTTAACGATTTAACTGCAAGTGGAAAAAAAAAACTGTTTCTGAAGGCACCAGCTCGTGTCCAGTTCTACAAAGGTTGTCTACTCAGGTTCCTCTGCCACCTGAACGTCTTCTAAGTAGGTGGGGAACATGAATATCCGCAGTTTCATTTTATCAGGAAAATTTCAATCAAGTAAAAGAAGTGGTTACAAAACTTGAAGATGAGAATGCATGTGTCCGTGAGGCAAAAGTGATGTTTGGAAGTGATACTGTTTATCAAGATGTGAATTTTATCCATGTACATTTTTCTACAGTTTCAAAAGCCACTGAGAGCTTAGAATCTTGTGGTGCACTCCTTCACGGCTCACTTGAACTCGTTCAGAAAGCAACTTGTTCACTGAATTGCGCTCCAGGCGAAATTGGAGAGAAGATTAAATGCAAGTTATAAAAGGCGTTGAAATCGAACCCAGGACTAAAAAAGATTCAGTAAATTAGTCAATACTTGAGTGGAATTAGGGTATCTTTGCCAGATGAGTGTTCCGAAACTTCGGCTCCAGTGTATAAATACTGTCGAATCACGTCAGTTGATGTAGAAATATCATTCTCAGCCTATAAACTCATTTTGACAGACAACAGACGAAGTTTGTCTACAGAAATCATTGAGAGACTTCTAGGTGCCTATTGTGATGCTACTTTCTGCAGTGAATGATAATGTAAATATGCAAGTCTGAATAAAGTGACATGTTCCTTACGTGCCTATTGTTTTATTTTTGGTGCATATTTTCCCGCTTCTT